GAAGGGGGCACAAGACAGCCTTCCTCTCTGCACAGCTCTTCCAGGAAGGGCAGCAACACAAATTTGGCTGTCTCGGACCCGACTTTTGCAGCAGAGGGCGTGGATTCGGGATGCCCCAGGTGAAGCAGGGTGGGCCTGATTTCCCTTGGGTGCTGCGGACCCCCAGCTGCAACTGAAGGCAGGAGGTTTGGCAGCTGCCCGGCCCCTTGGAAACCCACGTGCAGCACGTCTGAAAACACGCACCCTGACTGCACGTTTTTCAGGGTGAGTTGCCGGTGCTTCATCTAAAGGTCAGGCCAGATGCTTCCGTGATTGCTTCAGTCCAGCGTTTGCCTATTGGCAATGGTTTCCACGCTCGTATACGAGAGAGTATCCTTACATGGGCCGCGGGGAGATGGGACATGGTTTATTGCCCCGTGTCGGTGCTTGCATTGCTTTCAAATCTCAGGGCAGCGGGGAAGCGAAGTGCTCCTTAGGAGCGGGATTTGACAAGCTCTCCCCAAAGAGCCTGAGCAAAGTGTGAGCGTGTGCCAGCTGGTTTAGCAGAGGAGCAAAGATGCACATGATCCTCTCTAAGTGCTTTGGCAGGAATCCTCCGGGATCTGTCCAGATGTGACTGCTTGGAGATGGAGCAAAGTGCGTGGCATGGCAGGCAGCAGAGAGGCGATCTCTGCCTGTGAACAGGTTGCCATAGGCTAAAGCACAGCCGCCGCTCTGTTGTAATTGCCTGGGGGGTAGGCTACAGCCATGCCAGGCAGCTTTCCCGCTTTTGCTGAAAGACAGGGTCCCTCACACGTCCTCCTGGGTAAGACTATGCACATGGGAGACTACGGCGGAGCAGCGGATGTGTGGCAGGTTCGCACCCTAGCTCCCTGCACAGCACCGTGCTCCCTTCCCCTTCTTTCCTGGAGGAAGGATTAGCCGAGTACACCCGTACTGCTGGAGGCAAGTCTGCAATACACTGTCAGATGTGCCGCCTTGTGAAGGCCGTGCCTATAGCCAATGTCTGTGCCTACAATAAATGGCTCTGGAGTGAGCCGGCATCTGTTTCTACCTCTAGCACTCCCTTACCACCCGCCAGCCCTCATCCCAGCAAGGGGAGGTGGGCGCTGGCGTCTGCGGTGGAGCGCTGCCCCGGGCCTTGCAGTGGGGCTGCTCCGTTTCCTGGGCGCCCTCTTTGATCTGCAGGGTGCCGATGCGCCGACTGCAGGAAAACACTGTGGATAAGAGCAGCTCCGGTGAATCCCTAGTGCCCGTGATTAAAATGCTGCTCAGAGCTCAGCAGTCGCTCCTGCAGCTCCCAGAAAATGCTCCAGCCTGCCTTCTCTGCAGCCCACGACTAGCATCCCCGGCCTGAAGCCTGGCAGCAGGGCGTGGGATGGCTCGAGCAGGGGCCCCGTGTTAGGAGCAGGACAGTTAGCAGGTGCTTTGGTAGGATGGGGAATGACGGCCTTTCCAGGGACGGGGTTGGGGAGAGATGTGCCCCATCTCCCATGGGAATGGCTCTGCTACTGTAGAGGGTCCAGCTGCAGCCGAAGCTGTTGGCGCCTGGATTTGCCCCCCAGGAGCTGTGCTGGTAGCTTGACAGCAGTCCTGTGGCTGCAGCTAGTGGAGGAGCTTGTGGCCGCCGTCGGAGAGCAGCCTGGCTCACTGGCCTGGCCTGACCCGCTGGCTGCTCTGTGCCTCAGGGTACCGGGATGGAGCAAGACCTCCCCCGTGCAGGAGCAGAGCTCACGGTCACTGGCTTCTGCAAAGTGTCACGACATCTGACCCTGACCTATTTTCACCCTGCGGCAGGCGTGCGTTCAGCAACATCTCCCCGTGAAACGCGATGCTCGCAGACACGATTCTGCAGCCCTTCTCCGTGCACGCCAGTGGGACGGTGCAGAAAACACCGGCTCAGAAACCAGCATGCCTGCGTTTCACTCAGCCATTACATTGGCTTCTCTGAAACATGCCTTCCGGGCACAACCTCAGCAACGCACCGCTCCCTCTCTCGGAGGCCTCTGCTGATACATGCCAGATTTAGGACCAGTGACCGTCCGACCCTGCTGCCCTCCACAGACCGAGGGACGGTTTGTTGTGGGATGTTGTTGGTGACAGGGGTCCGGCCTCGGTCCACGGCTTGGCATCTGGTGCCGTGTTCCTGACCCACATCCTGATGAACATCTCACATTTGGAGGAATCTGGCTGCTCTCCCAGGGTGTCTGAACAGCCAGCTAGCTCTAGGAATCTCTCCTCTCCCTGGCATGCCAGCAAGCTCCCTTGTATTTTCCTTGTGTTCCTTGTTTTTTTTGAGTATGAGAAATGCTGTGGCCCAGTAAGCAGCTGGGGGGATGCAGTTCCTTGGCTTCTGTCTGTGCCACTAATTGGCTCTAGGCTTCTTTCCCCTCACACCGAGGTCCAGCTCTTCCTCCCAAGCTGATTGCTTCTCTTGGCGATTTCTCTGTCTGTCCTCAGCTATGGGCTCACTCTCCTCATTAGATATGGCTTCCCTGCAGTCGCGCTTTGCTTTCTGTTTCTAAATGAACGCAAGGTGCCAAGTTAACAGCGCTGGAGAGAGCTTTGGCTATAACTGCAGCTACTCTAATAGGAGCAAACGCTACTGTGTTAAGATCAAAGCTCCATTTTGCACTTAAACAGACTGAGCTCCAAAGAGTTTGCAGTCCCCGGTGGACAAAGAGACAGCGTGTGAGCTGTTATCCCCATTTTGCAGGTCAGGGTGCTGAGGCACGCAGAGGCTAAGGGACACACCCAAGGTCACACCGATCAGGAAGCTGTCCCATGTCCCACTCCCCCAGCCTTCTCTTCAAAGCCATCTGTCCTCCCTGGCCAGCAGAAAGCCCTCTGCAGTGCGCCCCAAACCTGAGCAGCAATGGGAGCTGTTGTGATGCTGGGGGCGGCGGGGAGTCCAGCCTCCCAAGTCCATGCAGCCCTGGGGGTGTCTGAGACGTGCAACGAGTTGTGGCTGGAGAGCCCTGCAGAGGAGGAGAGAGCTGGAACAGGACGTGCCTGGATGCTCCCAGCTGCCCTGGTGTTGGGGTCGGGATGCTGAATCCTTCACACACCCCAAGCCCCACCCAGCACCTACCCACCTTGTTGGGCCATTTGAGCAGAGATGTTCAGGTGACCCAACAACATCAGGTTGAAACAGCCTGGCTGGACTCCTCTCTCCCCATTGCTCAGGTCAGTAGGCTGTTGCAATGTTGTCCCCTCGCTCGCCTCCCAGGCCTCCAGCAATGGGGCTGTCTCCATTGTGAGAAAGAAAGAAAAGGGGTGCATCCCTTTGGACGTGGGGGTCACCCTCCTATCTGCCTCTCCTCCCTTCCCCTCGCTTCTGTGCTCTCCTGCTACGCTGGCCAGCGTCTCAGGTGTTGTACCATGCCCTGCAGAGGTCTGCTGTCAGCATCTCTTTCTCTCACTCCTGGCCCCAACCACATAATTATTTTTGAATCCTTTTGCACAGCCCTGAAATTTTAACCTGAGATTACATTAATTACCGAAATTCTGGTGACAGCCAAGATGGGTTGGGGGCTGGGGGGATCCACATAGCAGGATTTATAAGAAATTAATTAGTTGCAGAAAGATGAGGTTGGCACCCCCTCGATGCCTGATATTTTCCATGGTTGTCTATTTTTGGAAAGCTGCCTGTGTTAAGCTAAATATAATAACGTAAATAGCGGGGAAGATGAAGATGATTCTACGCGCGTACCGCAGCGGAGATGCATTAGGCAGAGATTTCCTTCCACAAGATGCAGGCAAACCCAGTCCAAAGCCAGGAGCGTTGAGGCGAGAGGTAGGTTGGTTTGATGGAGCCGTCGAGTTTGCATGCTTTGAGACAGCTTCATCCCACCAGGCCCCAGTGAAGGTGCCAGGGGAGGGGAGATGGGCAAAGGAAGCTATGTGCTGAGGTCCCAAGGGTCCGTGGGTAAGAGCAGCCTCAGGGACTGTCTGCATTTGCATGCAGCTGCTGATAGCCCCTGCAAGGCCCTGTGGGCCGGTGGAAAGAGCCAGGGTGTGGATGGGCTTCCTTCCCCCCGGGGTAACACCTCTGGGGTGCCTCCTTGCCAGGGGCCTCCTGTGAGCAGCAGCTGTGAGGTCCCTGCTAGCAGTGAAGCCCCTGGGGCAAGTAGGCTGCACTCAGCACCCGACCTCTGGGGAGGGGAGCTCAGAACCCAGCTCCGGATCTGAATCGGACCCGTCGCTGACTCCCTTTTCCTCTGCTTGCCTGCACCTCTGAACGGGTCTGGCTGTGGACCAGGTGCTCCGGGGGTGTAAATCAGCACCACCCCATTGCACGTTCCTTTCCACCACCGGCTGGAGCCCCAGCCCTCCGGCAGCTCCAGAGTTCGCCCTTTCCCACTGGCTGCTCTTTTTACTGTGGGCCAAATTGGACCCCAGAGCCAGAGCCTGGGTGGAGCGGAGCGGCAGGGAGTCCCTGCCCGGGTTCGGCCGCTTGGATCTGCCTGGCACGGTGCCGTTACGTGCGCTGTTGTAGCCAGTGTTGTACGGCTACCGTAAGGTGGGTTTGCGCAGGTGTGTGTGTGCATGCACGTGTGCGCGCGCGCCAGCATGCGTGTGGATGGGTATGTGTGTGAGCATCTGCACGTGTATGTGTGTGTGTGCACGTGTGCATGCGTGCGCTTTCCCAGCTCTGGTGGCAGGCGAGATGAGAGCCCAGACTTGTTCTCCAAGCGAGCAGAGGGGAGTGTGGCTCCAGCCACCCTGAAACGCAGCCGGTGCCATCCCTGCGCAGCTGGGACAGCCTGTGGGAAGGCGGCAGGGCCCAGCAGGGCTTGCCCGAACCCCTGGATTGGCAGATGCCCGGCAGGGATGTCAGCTGCGGGGAGGGGCCAGTGTCACACATGAAATACTCCAGCCCTACCAGGAGGATTTCTCTCTCTCTCCCTCTCTCCTCCCTGTGCTCAGCGCCTCCTGGCTCAGGTTGCTGCAGAAAGAGCCTTTCCTTACCTTCCCTGGCATTGAACTTCCAAGGCCCAGCGAGCGCGGGGGCCAGAGCAGAGCCAGAGACCCCGGGGAGCGAAGGTGGCCTCAGTGGGGAGAGAAGGAACAAAAAGGAACGAAGAAAGAAAGAAAGAAAGAAGAGTGCGTGAGCGAAAGCGTCTCCTTCCCCGGCCGCGTGAGTACAGCTGCCTCTCCCAGTCGTGCAGTTGCATTTCAGCAACATGGCAATGTAAACAGAGCAAAGGGCCGGCAGGCTGGGGTTGACTTGAAAGAAGCAGTTCCCCTTTCTTTGCCCCTCTCTCGTGCTTCCCCGCAGAGCTTCCTTGTTCCCCTGGGGCTCGGTGCCTCTTCTGGTGCTGGGAGGCTGGGCAGGGGGAGAGTTAGGGCTGAGGGAAACTGAGGCAAGGCAGCTGGTGTCAAACGCAACAGGGCGATTTTCCGGTCTCCTTCTGAGAGGGTGGCGTTGCCCTGCGCGGCGGGGTCGGGGTCTCCCCCTTCTCCCAAACCTCAGGGAGTTTGCTATCCAGGCATCGGCCCATCTCAGGCGGGGGCCTGTGCGCGAGGAGGAGCGGAGAAAGCCGTGGTCTCCGGGGCAAAACTTTTCACGGCTGCACTTGGGAGGGGAGGAGGGAGTTGTACACCGGTTTGCCGTGTCCGACCTCTGTTCACGTGCTCCTCGTGGGGTGGGAGCGTGGTGTCCCGTCGCACTTTCTGTGGCTGTCGGGGTCCTGTGCCTCGCTCGGGCTCTCACACGTTCCCAAGTACGTGGGCAAATTGCCCCCAGAGTCGACCCCCTCATCCTCTCCTTCGTCACCGGCGGGATAGGGAATGGGACTGATACAGCTGATCTGCAGCCAAAACCCTCGCCAGGTCAGGACAAGGCTGTGCCAGAGAGGCTCTTTTCTGGATGAAAACAAGCCAGAAGGAGCCCTGCAGGCTGCTGGGCTCAATGGTGGCATCGGCGCTGAAAGGGAAGAAATAGCAGCCTCCAGCCTGAGGCTGCCAGCATAGGGACGGCTGCACTTTGCGTCCACCAAATCACTGCTGCAGCGTGCGTGAGGTAGGGGAGGAGGGGGCTTGCTTGCCCAGGTGGCAGGGAAAGGGTTAGTGGAAAGGCAGTGGCCTCCGTTCAAAGCAAGGAGCGGTGCATAGGGGGAACAACTGATCTCCATCCAGGGATGGAAATGCCGAGCATTTGGGGGAGGCAGGGGGTGGGCACAGGGTTTGGAGCAAATGGAGAAACCAACCCACTGCAAGAGCCTGAGGTCTCCAGGTGCGGCTGTGCTCTGGATGAACAGTGTTGTTCCCTGTCTGTGGGAAACTGAGGCACGCTGAAAGGTCCTTCTGCTCTGGGCCCTTGGCGACAGCATCACAGGCACTCTATAGCCTTCAGACCCAGAGGGCCTTGAAATGCTGCCTGGTCCCTCTGCCTGAGGAGCTCCCTACATGGAGGCTCACAGCCGTACAGCAGAGGATAACAGGGTGGAATCAGACCTCGGGAATTTTCCTAGGAGGAAGTCAGTAAGGCAATGGCACAGAGGGCTGGAAAGTCCCCTCATGCCCAGGGAAGGGAAGGTCTGATGGTGGCTGAAGGGCAGGCCTCAGAAGATGCAGGGGCTACCCCTGCCTCTGCTACAGGCTCCCAGCATGGCCTTGGGCGAGTCACTTAACCTCTGTGCTGCAGGGTCTCTATCAGTGAGATCCTGGTAACGCTGGACCTGGCCTTGTGCCGCAAGGCTTGCTTGTTGAGAGCGGTGGAGCAGTGGGTGGCTGGCTTGCAAGGCTCCAGGGCATCACGGCGCTGTTTTCAGCGCTGTGAAGGCCCCTCTCAACTAAACAACTGTGTCTTGCCAGTCCTTTGCATGGGTGCCTACGGCAGGCTTCACTGGCTTGTGCGTGTTCAGGGATGTGGTTACTGGGTCGCATATACACGTATTATAGGTGGTGATGATACACGGCCATGCACCCTGCTGGGTATTACATCGTTTCTGAGTTGGTTGTTTTAAACCATCAGCTAATGCGTTGCAAATCCACAGTGTGACTTTTATTATAGTTAGACTCGAGTTGAGATGGGGATTTTGGGTGGGACCCATTCTGAATCCATGGCCCCCATGCTGGCCTTAATACTTTATCTTTTGTTACCCACCCTGAAATACTCCTCTGGCTTCATTGCAAACCCAAGATGCTCCAGCAAGCTGGGTGCATCTGTCTGGGGTCTTGCCCAGAGCACAGTTGGAGTTCCCTTGGTGGTTTCTATTCAGTAGTAACCCCGGAGAAGGGGAAACAGAGCAGAGAGAGGAACTGACTCACTCCAGATCATGCAACTAGGATGGGAACCTAAGGATCTCGACTCCTAGCGCTGTGTTCATTTTGCCAGGGCGCACAGAGCTCAGAAAAGGATCTTTGGAGTGAGTTTCCTTTTGAGTTGCTGGTGGATTGAACCCAAAAAGTATTGGCCCCAACTGGCTGACATTGCTTTGACCTGCTTTGGGGCAGCTATTAAGGACCCAGTTTTAAAGGGGTCACTTGGCTGCTTTCAGCAAATGGAGTCCATGCGGGGGATCTGCCTGTTGAATTGGCTTTCTTATCCCTTTCCAAACAAACTCGCTGCTGCTGTCTGGAGCCAGGAACAGAAAACCAAACACGACCTGTTGGTCACTGTGTCTATGCAGAGGCCCACACTACAATCCTGCAGGCAGTTCACTCTGCAGAGAAGATCTGTAATCAGAGGCAGTATCCTGCTTGCTTGCTTTCCATTGCTATCCAAGGTGCGTGTTAAGGTAGCTTTTCCTCTGTGGCTAAAATTGCTCTTCTCTTGCCTGGTCGCTCAGCCATCCAGCATCCCAGCCTGTGCTGCTGGGCAGCCAGTCCCCCTGCAACCAAAATTATTTTCAGAGCACAGAGAAAAGCGACTGAGGGTCCAGAGACAGGAGGCCTAGGGCTGACACCTGAGCGCTGCAGTCTCCGCTCGCTCATGTGCTCTCCCCGGCTTTCTTGTGGTGCGGCCTTGTCACACCCTCAGCCACAGCCTGAGATCGGCATTCTGCTTCCTGGATTTCCTGGCTATTTTTAGGGAGCAGCTCAGAGCCAGATATCCAGGCAGCTGCCACAATTGGGGCTGACTTCCCGACACACCAAGCGCTCGTCATTCCCGCTGGGGTACTTATAGCCAGGTTCTCCGAGGAGCTGAGCTCTCCTAAGAGTCTGGCTATTTATTTAGGTGCCTGAATAACAGCTGAGGTCTGGTGACATCTTGGCTGGTGTGCATGGTACACAGCTTCCAGGCACGGCTAGCATTTGGTGGGACGTGAGTCTGAATGAGGAAGGATGGTCCAGCGGCCCGGGCACCAGCTTTGCCCTGGGGCAAGTTGCATTCAGACTTCCCGTGTGACCGCAGATTGCAGGTCCCCGTCTGTGTAATGGGGATAATAGCTCTGTCCTACCTCACCGGAGCATTGGGGCTAGGGACAGAAGTTACATGTGAATCAGTTTAAGTGATCAGAAACTGGTTTAAACACATAACAGAACACAAGTTCGGTGCACGTCAACCGGTTTTAAAATGGCTGAAACTGTTTTAAGATAAACCTGGTTGAACGTAGTATCAGACTTCACTGACCTGGGTCAAACCAGTTTATGAAACCTCTGCCCCAGACCTGGGAGGATGCTTGGATGTTTTGGACTGGGGGAAGCAGAGAGGGCCACTGTCTACCTCTGGTTTTCACTTGGTCTTCCCCTCCCCGCCACTCTTCTGGCAGATCGGGCCCCTTTAAACCAGCTCAAGTTGAGACATTCAGTGTCACGAGACGTGGATAGTGCGCTGCATGTTCACATCTCTTAGATCACCCATCCCGAGAAGCACAAAGTGGTGTTGGGAGGGATTTAAGGACCATGGTGCTGGCAAACAAGACGCCCACTGGTTTCTCCTAAATCTGTCATGCTGCTCTTTACTGCTGCTACCAGTGCCATGTTTGCATGCCGGTTTTATTTCCTCACTTCCCCATCTCACCAGCCTGTGCTGAACCTAGGGAGGAGGGGGGCTGTGAACATTGTATTTTTTTAATCAAGTAAAAGAAGGGATAATTAGGATACAAAATACTGCGGCAGCCATCTGTCTTCATCAGTCTGCATCTTGGAAGGGCTACTAATAGCCTGCCCAGAGCTGGTTGTGCTAGGGGACTACCTGTTTTCAGACAGACCCAGGGATGAGCCTTCTTATATGGGGAAAGAGAAAACAAGCTGCAAGTGAGAGGGCACATGGGATCCTATAGGTACGGAGCACCTAAAGGCATAAGGAGATGCACTGTAGAAAAGCCCTTTAGACAAGGTTGATTAGACAGGTGAGACTAGCTAAAAGGGTGAGCAAGGAGGAAGGATCAATACTGCCGTCACGCTCTGAATGCCAACAGCAAATGTTAGTATTGCATGACTGAAATGGCTTAAGGAGCAGCATTACTGCTGGAGACCGAGGTTAGCAGCATTAAAGGTACAGGCCAGTAAGATCTGCCCGGGCTTTCCAGCTGCTAGGGAATGCCCCATGACCCTGCCCCGCCACTCTTTGCTAATCCAAGGATGTTAGAGAAGAAGAAGAGCGAGGGAGCTAGGAAAGCTAGGGTCTCGCCTATAGGAGTGCAAGCGCTTTGGATCAGGAGCTGTCTCCCCGGCGGCTATGTGCAGCATCTCACATGACAGGGCCTTGATCGTGGTCAGACTTTACCACAGCAGAAATAATCGCTTAGAAAAATTGCTCATCCCTTATGCAGTGTTGTCAGTGCCTGGCGTCAGCCAACTCTGCCCAGCCTTTCCAGAGCACACAGTGGTAGGACTAGAGCAGCCTTGTCACTGCAGGGCAAGGGGGAGGGGTGTGGAGCTGGTGTATGCCAAATATAAGAACAGGGCCTGGCTAATGAAGACACTTAATTACTACTGAGCATTGTGTGTGTTCAATCTAATTATGTCTTGGATCAGATGCAAGCAGCAAAGCCTCGCTGCATGCCTCAACAAGGTGGTATCATGCCTATTTTACAGATGGGGAAACTGAGGCACAGGGAGGATGGATGGATTGCTGATGGTCCCACTGGCAGCATTAGGCCTAGTCGGAGCTCTGGCTCCTAGCCCCCTGCGTGACACCCATCGGGTCATTTTTTCCAGGATACCTTTGGCTGGGCAGTAGGGTTC